GGGCTAAGTTAAGAGGATTGCTTGAGCCCAGGAGTTTGAGGTTGCTGTGTGCCATCATGCCACAGCACTCTACCGAGGGCGACAAAAATAAAACTGTCTCAAAGAAGGAAAAAAAAAAAAAGACAACAAAGGTCATGGGATCCAGTCAGCAGGATTGACTGAGGACGCATCTGTCCGTATTCAGACACACCCCCAACCCAAACACACAGCACCTCCTCTTTGACCCATGCTTGACTCAGCTGCCAGCGTCCTGCTCACTCCTTCCCTCCTGGCTGCTTGCATCTGGCTTCTGTCTATACACTTTACTAACACACTTGCCATGAGCTCAGCAGTGATTTCTGTAGTGCTGTTGTGCACAGCAGACACTTTCTGGCTCTGTTGTCATTGACAGTTAAGGATCATCCAGCACTGGGGGCCCTGTAGGTTCTGGGACCTCATGATTTCTGGTCTTCCTACTACCTTTCTCACTTTGCTATGTCCATCCTCTTTGCTGGCTTGGCTTCTTTTCCCTTTTCTTTTTCACTAGACTGCCTTTTTGTTTCATTCTACATTCACTCCTGAGATGGTCTCACCCACTTCCCTGGTTATAGATGCTATGGGTAGGTCCCACACCTGTCAGATTTATCCCTCTAGATATGTCCACTTGCTGCCCACCTGACACCTCCACTTATGTCTCTTCTTGCAGGTATAAAAATGTGACAACTTGACTTCCAAACTTGTTCTCCCCAAATCTGCCTTCCCTTATTTCCATGACAGCAAGTGGTGCTGCCATTCACATGGTTCCCTCTTACTACCCTTTCTCCCTGCTCCTTATATTTCATTATCGGTCTCCCCACATGTAAAGCTGAACTTAAGGTAAAGTAAAAAATCTTGTGTGAGGCTTCTTGCCTACCTTTCTGCTTTGTGTAAAACTGCATTCTCCATTACTCTGCGTCCCAGTCTTTGCCCTTCTACCCTCATGCAGGTCTCACAGTTGACAAACTCATCCTCACCTGCCAATATCGCTGTCCTCACCCTGCAGCTGCTGTAGGTCTCAGTTAACATCACTCAGTCTCCCACAAGACTAAATTGTGTTGCCTCTGTCTGCCTCTTCCATAGCACCTTGTGCCTTCTTAGCAGAGTTTGCCACTGCAAACTATTTATGGGCTTGACTCATTTATGGGTTTCATGCAATGTCTGTCTCTGCACCACTGCATTATGGTTTAAGCCAGGTGAGGGTAGGGCCATATCTGTTTTACTTGTCACTATCTGCCTATAGCCTGAAACATTGCCAGGCACATGGCAGATGCCAACCAAAATTTGCCAAATGAAAGCCTCTTCCACTTAACTGAGGACACCCACTCCTCTGTGCTGTTGTTGTCTAACAGATTACATTGCTATATGTTGTAGACCAATAGCATAATTATATACATATGGTTTTATATAATTGCTTTAAAATCAGTTCAGAGAAAAAAAGAAAAGAAATATGCTTTTCTTTTTTTTTTTTAAATTTAATTTTATTTTTTTTTTGAGACAGAGCCTCAAGCTATCCCCCTGGGTAGAGTGCTGTGGCTTGACAGCTCACAGCAACCTCCAACTCCTGGGCTCAAGCAAGTCTCCTGCCTCCGCCCCCCAAGTAGCTGGGACTACAGGTGCCTACCACAACGCCCGGCTATTTTTTGGTTGCAGCCGTCATTGTTGTTTGGTGGGTCCTGGCTGGATTCGAACCCGCCACCTTAGGTGTATGTGGCTGACGCCTTAGCCACTGAGCCACAGGTGCTGAGCCTGCTTTTCTACTGTTTTTGTTTTTGGGGACGGTTGTTTTTTTTGTTTGATTTTTTTAAGACAGAATCTTACTTTCTGGCCCAGGCTGGAGTACTATGGTGTCAGCCTGGCTCACTGCAACCTGAGACTTCTAAGCTCAAGCTCTTGCCTCAGTCTCCTGAGTAGCTGGGACTATAGGCATCTGCCACAATGCACAGCTATTTTTCTGTTTTTAGTAGAGATAGGGTCTTGCTCTTGCTCAGGCTAGTTTTGAACTCCTGACCTCAAACCAATCTTCCCATCTCAGCCTCCCAGAGTGCTGACATACAGGTGTGAGTCACCATGCCTGGTCTCTCTGGCATTTTGTAATTATATAATTACTTTTACTGATGCTTTTTGGTTCTTTATTGGTCTAAATTACTATCTTGGGTCACTTTCTTTCAGCCTGAAGAACATCTTCAGTATTTCTTACAAGCAAGGCAGGTTCATTAACAATAAATTTTGTTTTTTTTTGTTTTTTTTTTACAGAATCTGGGGATATCTTTATTTCATCTTCTCTTTTGAAAGATAGTTTTACCGAGTATAAGATTCTTGAAGGGCTATCTTTTTCTTTCAGGTTTTGAATATGCTCTCCCACTACCTTCTGATACCTGGGTTTCTGATGAAAAGTCAACTGTTAATCTAATTGGGTTTCCCATTTCTTTATCTTTTACCATTTTTACTGTAATGTATCTGTGTGTTTTGTGTGTGTTGAATTTGGAGTTCATTGAGCTTCTGGGATGTGTAGATTAATTAATGTTTCTCATTAAATTTGGGAAATTCTCTCTATTCTTCATCTTGCATAATCTCTATGATTATTTCTTCAGCCACTTCAAATCTGCTATTAAGCTTCCTTAGTAAATTTTTCACTTTGGTTATTATTTTTTTCAACTCCAGAATTTCCATTTGATTCTTTTTTTCTTGTTAATAATTTCTAACCTGTAATGATATTTTCTATTTGGTGAGAATTTGTTCTTGTACCCTCTTTTGCTTCTTTAAACATAGTTTCCTTAGTTCTTTGAGTATATTTATGATATCTACTTTGAAGTCTTTCTGGCATCTGCCCTTCTCACAGAAAGATTCTATTACATGCTTTTTTTCCTGCGTTTGAGTCACATTTTCATATTTCTTTTACATTATTTTTATCTTAAAAATGCATACAAATTTTTGTTGCTCATTTTAATAAAAATAACAGTTAAAGTATTTATTATTATATGTGATTTTATAGATATCCCCCCACATGCTACTCCCCACACACTGAGTCCTTACCTCCATTGTGGGGAGCATAAGTCTGGGTCAGTCCAGGGGTCTGGGAAGGAGAGTGTATCTGTTTGTGGACTTCCACAGAGGGTAGAGTGGGTATATTTTATCCTCTGATTCTCACAACTGGAATATTTATCATGTTTGTTGTCCTGTCTCCTATTCTAGCCTAGAATAGTGCTTGCACCTAATGAATGTTTCATCAGTATTTGCTGATTAAATGTTTAAAATACTGCTTATTGGGGACATAGTAAGGCTAGTGGAAGTAGAAACTATAAGAATGGTTTTACAAAATGCTGAAATTTCTTTACTGGGTTCCCACTGCTGTGGGATACAGCTCTATCTTGTGGCCTACCCTGTGTCTGTGTTACAAAATATAGTTATCAAAATAGTTTGTGCTGGCAAGAACTGATGAGACCAGTTAAAAGAGCAAAATCTAGAGGCCAAAAATGGACCCCAATGTATATGGAGATAAACAGCATTAATTCCTTAACATCATCAAACAGTACTCAAATTTCTAATGTCTGTCTCTCTCTCTTTCGTTGTTTCAGTTTATTTGAACTAGGGTACACTGATTTGTTCATATGTCTCTTAAGGCTCTGTTAGTCTGTGGGTCCTCAGCCAAAACTCTTTGGTTTTACCACACTTTAATTCTTGACAAAACCTGTTTATTTGTTCTGTGGAATCTCTCACTGTCTGGATTTTGCTAGTTGCCATCTGCGCCATCTGGTAAGATGTCCTCTGTCCATCCTATAAGTCTCTTCTGACCCAGAGGCTTGAGCAGATTCAAGTTTTATTGGTTTAATTTGTTTTGGTGTGGTCTGGTATGGTCTGGTTAGGGCTGCTTTTAGCAGGAAGGACATAAAGCCTAGCTCTCTGCTTTGTTGTAATTTTAGTAGCCATTGATCAACTAGGCCCATTAATTCACTAGAGGTTCTAAATTATGATGTTTTAATTATGGAACTTTTTTTTTTTTTTGGAGACAGAGCCTCAAGCTATCCCCCTGGGTAGAGTGCCATGGCATCACGCTCACAGCAACCTCCAACTCCTGGGCTCAAGCGAGTCTCCTGCCTCTGCCTCCCAAGTAGCTGGGACTACAGGCACCCGCCACAACGCCTGGCCATTTTTGGTTGCAGCCATCATTGTTGTTTGGCGGGCCTGGGCTGGGGATTCGAACCCGCCACCTTAGGTGTATGTGGCTGGCACCTTAGCCGCTTGAGCCACAGGCGCCGAGCCAGAACTTTTTTTTATTAATTTGCCAGGGTCTTAGTCCTTTTGTGCTGCTATAACCAAATAGCACAGATCAGATAATTTGTGAAGAACAGGAATTTATTTCTCACAGTTGTGGAGACTGGGAAGTCCAAGATTAAGGCGCTGGCCTCTGGGGAAGGCTGCTCTTTGCTTCCAAGATACCACCTGGAACACTGCTATGCCCTCTGTAGGGGAGGAACTCTATCTACATCCTTCCATGACAAGTGGAAGAACAAAAAGGTCAGACCTTTTTGTAATGGATTAATCCATTCATGGAGGCTCTGCCCACATGATCTAAACACCTCCCCAAAGGCCTTATCTCCCAACACTACTGCATGCGGGAGAAAGTCTCTAACACATAAGTTTTGGGGATACTCCAGATCACAGCAGCCCGAATGATTCTATAAAGAAAATCTTCCTCCATCTAGTTCTTGGTTACTCATATCATTTATATAAAAGAGGCTACATGGATTATAATTCTCATTTAATTATCAGATTCAGATCAATGAATGAGTTTGCTAGCATCTTCAACTGTAATTAATTAAGTTTTTTTTGTTTGTTTGTTTTTTTATAACATTGTGAACTGATGGCCTTAGGCATATTTGATTTGTTTCAATTCATTGTAGACACTATTCATTATAATATTCAAATACTCTCATCTTTGGCCACCTTCAGATTAGCTCCTGAGTTCTTCTGATACGATGCTAGTGTTCTTCTATAGAAGACCTTATGGACCTTCCTTTCATGAGACACCAGCTTCTTCTCCAAGATGCATTGGTTTCTATTCCTGAAAAGTGGTATTTTGGGTTTTTTTTTTCTTTTTTTAGACAGAGTCTCACTTTGTTGCCCTTGTTAGACTACTGTGGCATCATAGCTCACAGCAACCTCAAACTCTCAGGCTCAGGCGATCCTCTTGCCTCAGCCTTACAAATAATGCCCAGCTAGATTTAGAGATGGGGTCTCACTCTTGCTTAGGTCTGGAATTCCTGAGCTTGGGCAATCTACCCACCTGGGCCTATAGAGTGCTAAGATTACAGGCGTGAGCCACTGCCCCCAGCTTAGAAAGTGGTATTTGAGGACTGTTGTCTCAGAGCTAGAGGCACTCATCAGTGCTGGGTTAGTCCTTGTTTCTAAGCAGACTGAGGAATTTTTTTAAACATAAAATGATCTCAAGTTTGTATAAATACTTCCAGTTCACCTTCAAAGCTGTAAAGTTAGCTTCTTAAGAGCTCACATCTCTACTTTCTTCCTACATTCGGAACCCTAATTGTGAACCCCTAGGTGTGATGCAGGTGGGACATCCCATGCTGATACATCAGCTTCGTCCTGAGGTAGATGTTAGCCCTCTCCGAGCAGCAGGCCAGTACTACCGCATGGTATGAGTGCCAAAAGCAGTTTAAGGTAGATTTGTTTTTGTGTTTTGTTTTGTTTTAGTTTTTCAGCTCAAAGTACTTAATGTAAGAAAACATTTGAGCAGAGAAGCACTGGAGGAAACCAGCAGTGCTGCAGGGGAGGCTCCTGAGCTTAACAGGGAGCCAATAGGAAAGAGATGGCCAATAAGATGATTTATAAGTTTGGAAAAATTAAGAGGAAAAATTCTGTACAACCAAAGAATTACAACAAATTAAAACCTCCACAGACTTACACTTGAGTATCTGAGACACTCACATTGAGCACCATCAGTACCTGTCCTTCCCTGGTGGCCCTGGCACCCTGCAGACTGTGTGCAGCTTCTGGGGTATGGGGACTGTTTGCTGTCCTTGCAGGTGGCGAAAACTCTGACTCAGTTGATTTCTCGTCACGGTCATGTTGGATGGTGGCAGAGTGGCAGCCAAAGCCTAGAGTGCTGATATCATAGCCATTTCTCCTTGCAGGGAGTCAGGATAGCCAACCACTGTTGGGGCTTGAAGAGCTGTAGTGAATAGGCAGCTGCATCCAGTGGAAGGTCTGGTGCTGCTCAGGAGCCACAAGAGGTTCAGGTTCCTCTATGAGGGTTGTATGTGCACATAGAGTGTAGAATGTGCAATGTTCCAAATCCAAAGGGCAGGACTGTCAAAGATCTCTCCTTCACTTTTGTTCAGGGGTTGTTACACTTAGCCAAAGTGACCCTAGCTTGGACGTCTGCTGGACTGCCTGCTCCCTCCATGCCCAACCCAAGCTCCATAGCTCACCTCATACTGTATTAATCTCTCTCCTAGTAGCTCTCCTAAGCTACTATAGGAAAGGCATTGTCCTCAACCTCCAATGGGCATTTAATTAATTTAGTGACACAAAAAAGCAGTGATTTCTGTCTGAATCTACTTCAATGCTTTGAAGAGATGGATAATTTCACTTGTGTTGTAGAAGGTCAAACTGAAGAATGACTACCATCTTACACTTTTTAGAAGCCCGTTACTTACAATGTTTTCTTTTTTCCAGGTGATATCCGACATCCAAAGCGTGTGCAACAGACTGATCTTGCTGCAACGCTAGCAATAGGACTCAGTGTGCCGATTCCAAAAGACAGTGTAGGGAGTCTTATAGTCCCAGTTATAGAAGGAAGACCAATGAGAGATCAAATGAGATTTTTACATTTAAATACAGTACAGCTTAGCAAACTGTTGCAAGAAAATGTACCATCATATGAAAAAGGTAAGTCAATCAATAGTTTTTGACTTCTATCAGAACTGTATATTTCCACTGAACTGGTGTTTTTCTCATGTTTCTGTGGTGTGCGGTTTGTCACACCACAGTGCAGTCAGTACTCTTTGATTATACAGGTGTGTTATGTTCTTAGAACTTTAATTGTCACCTTTAGCAACGCCTATAGATGCAGTTATCTAAATGGAATTCTTTCCTAAAGTTATTTTTTCAACAAATATTTACCAAGTTCTTGATATGAATGAGGGACTCTTAATAGGACTGAAGATAAAGCATTGAGCAGTGCAAGGGCTCTGCCCTCATGGAACCGGAAAGAGCTGGGTAGGAGAAATTGAGAACTGATGGGTGTGGGAGAACATGAGCCTATTAAATGAATGCAGAATGATTCCTTGGCTAAAAAGACAGTGATGGGGTCTTCCACCCAGGAGGCTTGCTGTCCACAGTGTTAAAGATCACATTTCCTGAGAGAAACTGGGTACATGTTCTGACACTAACATGGACATTACAGCCCACAACAGGGTCCACAAAGTGCTCTGTGATGTCTAGGCTGCCTGATCCACTTACCCGTCTGGCTTTTAGCTCTGGTGGGATCTACTTTTTCTCACCTTAGAACTTTTACACAGGCTGTTCCCACTGCCTGGGTGCTCTTCCCATTTTCTACCTTGTCAATTCCTTGGCATCCTTTACATCTCAGCTTAATACTAAGGACCTTTCTTGACCCCCCATTCCAAGTCTAAAATCTATTCCTCCCCATTACCAAAAATCTATTGTTCTATTTCTACTTTATCTTCATGGAAATTTTGTGATTGCAAATATAATATGATCACATTTTGTAACTGCACACGTGCCTGAGTGTTGACTCTGTGGAGTCTGTGCAGCCATGACCTGCCCCTGTCAGCTCACGGTTGTGTTTCTCGCCCATGGCACAGCACCTGGCATGTAGTCAGTGCTCAGTAAAGATCTGGACTCATGTACAGGTGCCTGCATGTCTCTGTGACTCTTGATAGAGGGGCAATGAGGTATAGACTTTTGTGCCCCATAAGTCTGTAACTCTGGGGTGCTCAGGGTAGACCCTGATGTCTCTGTAGCTCTAAGGTAGTGGGGTGTGAACAGAGTAGTCTGCCACTCCCAGGTGGTGGGTAAAGTAGTAAAGGGTGCCAGCCTGGGAGCCAGAATACCTGAGTTCCAGCTTCAGCTTTCCCCCATAGCTCTGTGACACAGGCAAGTGATTTTCCCTCTGCGTCTCACTTCCCTCTTATGAAGAGCAGATGTGGTACTCTTTCCTGCCTCATAGGGTCTTTCAGGGAATGAAATGAGTTAGCTGCTTAGGTGCCAGGATTGGCTCTTAGCATAGGTCATTAGTGCCAGCTATAGTTAGGGAGTCTACATGGGTTAGGGTTCATGCTCAGAGGCCCCAGGAGCTAAAACAGCTGCTCTGCCATGGGTATGGGGTGAGGACTGGGGACTCGCAGTGTCTTTAGTACAGTCCAAGGTGGGTGGGGTGTGCATGCTAGATGCCAGGGACTCTTGGGAAGGAAATCACAGGTGAATGTGGTTCAAGCAAAGACTCAAGACTTGGCCAGCTCTGGAAAGGGATCACATCAGCCCAACCTGAGCAGCAGCTGTGAGGGTTAGGCTTCACTCAGAGGTGGAGCATCCACGTCAATGACACTGGGCGCTCTGTTTCCAAAGAGGACTTGTTAGAAAAGAAACCTAGGTCAAGGGTGAATATTGTTAAGTGCAGGGCAAGAAGGGCAAGCCTGGACTAGGAGATGGGTCTGGTGGAGAAGGGGTCTGACCACTGCCCTCCCAGTTCTCACAGGATGCTACAAGGATTGGAGCAGTGGTTCTCAACCTTCCTAATGTCACAGCCCTTTAATTTTCACCCACAGGTTGAAAATTGCTGGATTAGGGAGAGCCTGTAAAACCATGGCGTGTTAATGTAGTACATTTTAGCATTATTTTATATTGCACAATGAAGAAGAAAAGAGTGGAAAGATATAGAGAAGGGAGAGGAGGAGGTAAACAGGTGAGAGACGTAGAGAAGGAGACCAGGCAGTGCTGCTGTTGACAGAGGGGCACCCCCAGCTTCTAGTTTTATTGTTGGTGGTGCTTCTCCGCCCAGAGGAGTAGTTTATCTCCTTCAGCTGTCAGTTCCAAGAAAGGAAGACTTTACCATACACTGTGAATAACTGCATACTTTGAGATTATTTGCACATACGTATTAGTTCATTAAATATGAAATGTCTGATTTTGAATTAAAAGTTTACTTTCAAACAAGAAGCAGTTCAGTTAATCAAAGTGTGCGCCTAAACTGTCCACACAGTTTTGCCATCTTAATGAAAGCTTGTGCATGCTAGCAGTGAATCCTGGAGAGCAAGTGGTGATGAAATTGCAAAAGACATTTTCCATAGTTTGTTAAGAATGAAATATTTTCCTTGCAAGAAGTGGTCCAAACCCTTGGAAGTAATAGTTGATGCGAGGTCTGGTGAATACGGAGGATGACAGAGAGTTTCTAAGTCCAGCCTCTAGTTTGAACTTCATTGTTTGTGCAGCATATTGTTGAGCATTGTCTTACAAGAGCATTGGCCTGTCTCTAATGACCAGTCTCCGCCTCTTAATCACAAGTATCCTCATCATCTCGTCCATTTGGTTGCAATGGACATCCACTGTAATCCACTGTCCAGGTTTTACAAAGCTGCAGTAACACCAGTGCTGGACCACCACACAGACACCATTAGCTTTTGTGAATGGGTGTTTGGTTTTGGACTGTTTTTTTGCACTTCATCTTTATCCAGCCATTGTGCTGCAGACTTAAATTTGTCAAAAAGAATCCATTTTTCATCACATATCACAATGCCATGTAGAAATGATTTGCCATTATGCTGTGACAGCAAAAAAGGGCAAATTTTGAGACCATGTTTCTTCTGATGCTTATTTAATTCATGTGGAACCAACTTATCCCGATTCTTTACTTTGCCAATTTGTTTCAAATGGTTCAGCATTGCTGGAATAGTAACGTCAAACTTGCTGCTATTGCTGCTAATCCACAAGTAGGTTGGGATGGATTCATTTCCACCACAGCTTTCAGCTCATCATTACCCACCTTGATCTCAGGTCACCCACATGGCTCATTTTCAAGATTAAAATCACTAGAATGGAAATTCTCAAACCATGGCCATACTGTGTATTCATTAGCCACATCCTTCACAAACATTTCATTGATATTTCAAATTGTCTATGCTGCATTGATTCCACGATGGAACCTATATTCAAAAATAACACAGATTTTAGACTCGTTCATGGTTTCACAAAAATTGCTGTAAAAAAAATTTGAAAGAGGGCTCAGCGCCAGTAGCACAGTGGTTACAGCACCAGCCACATACACTGAGGCTGGCAGGTTCAAACCCAGCCTGGGCCAGCTAAACAACAATGATGACAGCTTCAACAAAAAATAGCTGGGAATTGTGACAGGAGCTTGTAGTCCCAACTACTTGGGAGGCTGAGGCAAGAGAATCACTTAAGCAAGAGTTTGAGGAATAGAAGTGTCAAAGTGAAATGTCAGAGATATCAACAAACTTAATACTTAAGGAAATTTATTACATAGGACATTTCATGCCTAATAATCTAACATGTCCATGGTGTATGTGTGTGTGTGTGTGTGTGTGTGTGTGTGTGTGTAACCTTTCTGCCTTCTTGATAGATCCTGGATTTGAGCAGTTTAAGGTGTCAGAAAAGTTGCATGGGAACTGGATCAAACTGTACTTGGAGGAAAGTCACTCAGAAGTCCTTTTCAACCTGGGGACCAAGGTTCTCAGGCAGTACCTGGATGCTCTGAAGACCCTCAGTCTGGCTCTGAGCACACAAGTGGCCCAGTATGATGTCTACTCGATGATGGTGGGGACTGCTGTGGTTTTGGAGGTACAGAGATGCTCACATGGGGTCATGGTTCTGGTGTTAAATTGATTTGGTAGCTCAGCCAAAGTAGTGGAGTTTGAACTTTATGGCCACCCTGTATATATATTGGTTTTACTAAAAATGGAAAAAGACTAATTTCCTTGTCTTTTTCATTGTATACCCTGATTTGTGACAGTGCACAAAGTAGGTGTAAAAAAACCAAGCCACACATGGCAGGTAATTAAATAGCCTTTCATTGGGCTTTCTAAGTAGGTTTCGTCAAGTACAGCAGCCTGTGGATGCTGCCACTGTTTCTTTTCCAGGTCCTTACCCTGCTTCTACTCAGCATCCCTCAGGCGCTCCGCAGACAGGCTAAGGTGGACATTCCACTGTCTTCTCCGGCGTTTTCCCTGCTCTTCTATTTGATGTTCCTGGTTCTGTCGGCCATTCACATCATCGTGTGCACCTCTGCTGAGAGCTCATGCTACTTCTGTGGCCTCCTGTGGCCGGTGGCAGGTGGAGTGATGGTGTTGATGTCTGCACTGCTCTGTGCAATTGTCTCTGTTCTGACCAAGATGTTCATTAGCAAAAGTCTCCCAAGTAAGGTACAGCTGGTTCCTGGGAGTACACATTTGTCTCTCTGCGCAAACTGTTTTGGTTATTTCAGCTGTCTTTTGTTTTCACATGCCAATTGAACACCTGGTATGTGCTAGGCATACTGGTGGCAGGGCACAGCAGGGAAGAAATCTGGGGAGCCTCTGCCAGGACTCTGGGTATCCTGACACAGGTATCCAGAGCTGTGTCATGAGGTCACATGCTGTAATTCCTGGTAAGGATTCCTGCAGTGGTAACAAAGATGTTTATAAAGAGCTGCCTGTTACAGAGAAAAGGGTACCCAGTGATGGGGCAGGAACCAGACCATCTCTCAGCAGAGGTGTCTGCTGCAGCTGAATAAGAAGAAACAGCTGGTTAGACACTCAGGAGCGTCAAAAGGAGGCTTGTCCTCCCCAACTCATCCTGTAATCTTGGAAATCCATTCTGCCTAATAAAGTCTGGGTTTCTTTTCACGGCTGACATTTTCTATCAGATTCTTAAAGTCTTTGGTCTCCGCACCTGCATTTGTGAGCTGTGTGGTGGTGCCTGGGCAGTGAGCAAGGGGTGGAAGGTGGCAGTCAGGTCCGCAGTGCTGGAGCCCAGGACCAAGGGGCCTCATTGCAGGGACAGCAGGTCTCACTTGCCCCTCGTCTTCATGCCCATGGAGCCCTCCTCTCCCTCTCTTGTCATCACCCCTAGAGGCCCTTTGCATCTGTGTGGTCAGGCCATAGGTTTTCTCAGAGCTGAGATTATCTTTATTCACATTCACATCCCTGGAGCCTAGCTAGGGCCATGATACCTGCCTCTCTATTACACCTACCTAATGATGACTCAATGAGCAGTTATCAAAAACCACATGACAGTAACTGAGTCCTCATCTTTAATTCTGAATGTTTTAAGTTCATATATTTAAAGGATGATACTGTGATGCCACCTTCGTAATTTCAACAAAAATAACTATGTTAGTGGAAACTTTCTAGATTTTTGGAAAATTCATAGGGAAATTATGTCTTATTTGGAAGAATGTATTATTGGGGTTCTTTGGTTTCGAGCAACAGGAACTGTCCATGGCCAACTGAAGACCTGGGCTCTGCAAGGGCACAGAGGAAGGAATGTGGGGTCTGACCAAGAGCCACTTGGCAAGCTCTTTAGGTGCTGGCACTGCCTGAAGGGTTCTAACCATTTTCAGCTTTTTTTTTTTTTCATCATCTTAGAACTTGCGATCTAGTATGAAGTCAGCTGACTGACCGTGCTATACCTATGTCCCCCTGGCTGGGGTGAGGGCATCTCGATTCCCCAAGGCTGTGTCCTGAGAGGAAGGGCTGTCCCACTGAAGTGGACAGGGGCTATTCCAGAGTTGAGGAGCAGGTGCTGGGCATGAAGAACAACGGGTGTCTATTGTGAGGGATTATTTATTTTACAGACAGCAAGATGTGTGCAATTTTCAGATTATTCCTTACAAAATATTTTTCTTTTTGCAGAATCCAGCTCATCCCAACTCAAGGTGGTCAGAGTTAGATCTTCTTATTGTGTTTGGGACAGTGGGCCACGTCTTGAGTCTGGGTGCCAGCAGCTTTGTGGAGGAGGAGCACCAGACCTGGTACTTCCTTGTTAACACCCTATGTCTAGCTCTGAGTCAAGAACTCTACAGAAACTGCTTTCTGGAAGATGACGGTGAGCCTCAGCATCACTTCCATATGGAACCAGGGATTGTGGATGCTACACCAGGGCTACCGTACAGGACTGGCTGTGATGTGTGGGAGCAGGACACAGTGCGTGAGAGGCTCTCTCTCTCAGACATGCTCAGAGGCCGTGAGAAGTGGATGGCACTGGCCAGTCCATGGCTGATACTGGCCTGCTGCCGGCTGCTGCGCTCACTAAACCAGACGGGTGTGCAGTGGGCCCACCGGCCTGACTTTGGCCACTGGCTCACCAGGTGAGAACACAAGCCCATAGCTGTGGTCTGGAACTTCCACAGCTGTCTGGTTACATACAGGCTCTTCTTATTTTCCATATTAACAAGGGGATGTATTTGAGATCTGAAGACTGGTCCCCACGTGACAGCTGTGGACCAGGACTAGGCCAGCCAGGCACAGTGGGACAGGGCCTCTATGGGCACCTCTACCCTTTGCCCATCCTCCTTTTTCCTCTTCACCCACCCTCTTCTCTCTCCCCATCCCTGAAAGGGGCAGAGCCATGTGAGTGAAAACCTAGTAGATGGGGTGGCAAATAGGATTTAAAGTAAGGGTTAAATAGAAGAAACCTGAACTTGAAAAAAAAAAATCAAGATTTGGCTATATTTAAATTTTTAATTATGTAGCAATAAAGACTTAGGAAACTAAAGAGAGGACAGCAAAGGAACGCAAGGTTTACGGTAGGAGTGACATGAGAGTGACAGTGAGTGGGATGTGCTCACTCCTGCTAGAAATCAGGGTGCTTCAAGTTAAGTGAGGAGGTGGTACTTGATACCTATCAAGGTAGACAAACAAAAATAAAAGACAAAACCCAACCTTGGTGAGCATGTGAGGACTTTGAGGGCCATTATTCTTGTAGCACAGTTTTTTTGACAGATTCTTGGACACTCACAGAAAAGCTGTGAAATTATGAATTCCTCTGATCAAGTGATTCTTGTGAGAAATTTCTCCTGAGTATTAGCTAAATTAGCCAAGCCTTGGCAATCCCATTCATCACAGGTAAGCATCTTTTAGGCACCTGCCTGCTGTGTGCCTATACCTTCTGCTATCACAGAAACCCTAGAGGGAGGACAGCAGCTGTTGCCCACAGCAAGGATGAGGCTAGTGGGAAGCTGTGGCTGCATGCTGGCCCCAGTCAGGGCCTGGCTGCCTGGTCCTGGAACAGTGCAGTGATAACCTCACTTTCTTCCTGGAAACCTGAAGCATTGGAGAGAAGCACCTCCCCAGGCTGCCCAGATGCATGAGTGGTGCTTCCTTGGGGCACGCAATGCCTCCCACTGCTCCTCCAGCCTTCCCACAGCATCACATCACCCTGCACTGCTGGATTATTCTTGCTGATGTGTAAAGAGACCTCGGTTTTTCACCTCCCAGCAACTTCCCAGTCCTCAGAAGGAGTCTATACCTGCCTTCTCTGTTGCTTTTTTATGCAGCAGTCAACCCTCTTACTGGTGGTCCTTCTTACCCAAGATCAACCATGATCTGAAAATGTTAGAGTTTTGAAAGAGAGAGATCCCATTCATATAACTTTTATTATAGTATATTGTTGTAATTGTTATAATTTATTAGTTATTGTTCATCTTGTATCTGATTTATAAACTAAACTTTACAGACATATGTATATATAGGAAAAAACAATGTGTCTATATAGGATTTGGTACTTTCTGCAATTTCAGTCATCTGGGAGGTCTTAGAATGTATCTACTGCAGTTGACAGTCTACTACATAACAATCCAGAACAGTGTGTAAAAAAATATGTACAATTTGAAGAGTACTAATAAATGAATAGCCAGGTACCCCCTCCTAGGATAAGGCTCAGGCCCTGATGTGGCTCCAATCTCCTTCTCTCATCTCAGGAGCACTGTCCTGACTCTGGCAACGTCTTTCCTCAGTGTTTTCTGAAGTAGTTTTTCCATTTATGTGTGTACCTTGGCAGAATATTTATTTGTCCATTTAATAACTATTGACATTCTGGGCTTTGGCATGTGAGCTGCAGACAGTAAAACACAGTGGATCCTAGCCTTCCTGCTGTTCCCACTCTGGCTGGGGTCTCAGGCTAGTTACAGGGCCAGGCAGGGTCTACAGCATTGGAGTAGGGGCAAGGCTGGGACCTCTGTCCTCACGTGAGCTGTCAATCACCGCGCATCTCCTCACCCAGGAGCAGAGAACAGCAGAGCCTGCGAAGGACTGAGAGGGTCTATGTTGCTGAGTAAGCAAGGGAGGGCTGGAGCCAGGAAGTGAGTAGGGTGTGTGCTGGTAAGTGGGAGCTGCCCAGGAGAGGGTGTCCAGACAGACCACTGCCTGTGTCTTTCACTGCCTCTGATCATCTAGAGCTGATGGCAGGGCTACCGTAAGTAAAAAGTGAATTGTCAGATTGTCAGTTTATTATATTGTATGTTTGAAGAACTTGTGTGTGAATTTAAACAACAAACTACTTTTATTTTTCAGGAAAATTAGCGATTTTGAATATAGTTCTTTGAAAGCCACTTGGTATAGATTCTTAGCATGACTATTTGGTAGTAATTTTGGCACTTTACATCTTGTTTCAGTTCTGATCACAAAGCTGAGCTCTCAATCCTGGCCGCCCTCTCCCTCCTTGTGATTTTCCTGCTGGTTCAGGGGGGCTGCTCCCCTGTGTCCAGGGCAGCCTTGCTGCTGGGGCTGCTGGGCGTCTACTGCTACAGGGTGGCCATTGGGAATGTGCTGTTCCCATGGCAGCAAGACAACAGAGACATTGCAAAGTAAGTGCACAGGCAGACATGGCAGTGTGCCTATAGGTCTATCTTAGCATTTTATGTTCTGTAAAAAGCTATGCCAATCTTCAGAGCACTAGAGTTTAGTGTTGGTGAGTTGACACATACTAGTGTCTAAGAAGACCTCAATTAATTGCTTTGTTAGTGCCTTTTTTAAAAGGCAACAAATAACTTGGAAGTAATGTCATTGAGATTTTCTCAATTAAAAATAAAACTTTTAAGGTATAAGATAGGACATACAGATGAATATAGATTGATGTCTAAGTTAATGGCAACATGTAGTCGCTAGGGTTTTGCTAACCCTCTGACACAACCAACCCTCTTATCAGGTTTGACTCAAGAAAACAAGCAGAAGGCCAGACTTGGTGGCTGATGTCTGTAATCCTAGCACTCTGGGAGGCTGAGGCAAGTGAATTGCTTGAGATCAGGAATTCAAGACCAGCCTGAGCAAGAGTGAGATACCATCTTCTAAAAATAGAAAAACTAGCCAGGCATTGTGGTAGGTGCCTGTAGTCCCAGCTACTCAGGAGGCTGAGGCAGGAGGATTGCTCAAGCCCAAGAATTTGAGGTTGCTGTGACCTAGGCTGATCGCCATGGCACTCTACCCATGGTAACAGAGTGAGACTGTGTCTCAAAAAAAGTGAAAAAGAAAACAAGCAGAGGGGTAGCATGTTCACTGAAGTAGCATGCTCCCATTATGCTTGCAAAAAGTAAAAAACAAGGTAATTATCAAACAAATAGTAAGGTGAACCTCTCAATTATTCTGAAGTTTTATGAGGAATCTTACACCTTTTGGGTGGCATGTTTCAAAGAGCACAGAAAGATGCTGTGGGATAGGCTGTCACAGTAGTGTTAGTGTGATCCCAACTGGCCAGATGCATGCATGTTTCCTTCATGTTTATGTGAAAGACTGAATACTTGATATGCTAGTTGTTGTAATTATATTTAGGGCCTGGGAGTGCAGGTAGATTGCAATTTCCCTTTTTACTTATCTTTGTGTCTTACAGATGTCTAGAGTTAATAAGTATTGCTTTTCTAGTCAAAGAAAAAGCCAAGGGGAGAGCTGAGGGCTCTTCCAGACCATGTGGGTAGCCCTGGGGCTCTGGGGAGCACACCTGGGAGTACCTGCCGAATGAGGCAGGGGCAGTGGGGGGTGATGCTGGGCCTGGCTGAAGTCATAGCCATGTAGCAGTGCCCTTCTCCTGAGGCAGAGAGGCCAGGTGGTGAGAGACTAGTGAGTTGCAGGTATAGGGGGTGTTCTGTGGAGATATTGCTGTTAACCTCAGACTCTGAGACTTCATGCAGATGTCAGGACTGAATGTTGTGTTTGGGGTGTTTGCTTGAATCTCAAAGATAGCACGTGAACAAATTGCTCATTTCCTCTCATATATGTGGACCTAATTACATCATCACTTATTTCAAGACTTTGGTCAACTCGGCACCTGTAGCTCAGCAGCTAGGGTGCCAGCCCCATACACCAGAGCTGGCAGGTTTGAACCCAGCCTGGGCCGCCAAACAACAATGACAAATACAACCAAAAAATAGCTGGGTGTTCTGGTGGGTGCCTGTAGTCTCAGCTACTTGGGAGGCTGAGGCAAGAGAATCACTTAAGCCCAACAGTTTGAGGTTGCTGTGAGCTGTGATGCCATGGCACTCTACCGGGGGCAACATAATAAGACTCTGTCTCCAAAAAAAAAAAAATACTTTGGTCACCTGACCTTACCTTACCTGCTTCCTGCTGCAGGTACTTTGGTGCAAACTCTTCCTGTAAGATGCCTCCATTCCTAGTATCCCATCTATGGGATTTTGCATACATCCTGGTTTTGGATCATGGTTTCAACTGCTGTTCTCCCCTTAGTCCCCCAACTGCTGCCACCTGTCAGTGATACAAAATCTTTTATATCCACTTCCTGGTTCTTCTGCACTCAGAAGCCCAGGCTTGCCAGAGTAGATGGTCAAGTTGTGAATGTCCTGGGCATACAGAAATGGGACAAGGAAACCCTCCCAGCCAGTCAGAGCAAGAAGGGGAAGGCCCATTCAGGGTGTCTGGTTGTGCTATCCTCCTGTTCACCTTCCAGCCTGCCTTGATACAGGGCCAGTCCCTTTTCTGCTTTGAAGCTTCTTCAGTGATTCCATCCTTTACTGATTTCTGCCTTCTTTGAACCCATGTGGGCCTATCATTCCCTAAAATTAGCACATTGGCACCTGGCCCCACCCCTCAACCAGGCCCCTCATGGCCACACTAAAGGCACAAAGTGACAAAATGGCACTCAAACTACTTGAATTAAACTGGTCATAGTTTTGCTGTCTTTTAGATATGTAAACCTTTCTAAAAGAAATCTGATGGAAAAATGCAGTATTTTTAAAGCTACATTGTTATTCTGATATTTCATTCTAATTTATTTATTTATGAATATTTTAAATTATTGGCTTTTCTAGTGCATATAAAATATTTCATTTACAAAATTTATTCGAAATAATTATGTTTTAGGAATATATATGATTTGGGGTTTTTGTTGTTATTGTTGTTGTTTTTGCAGTTTTTGGCTGGGGCTGGGTTTGAACCCACCACCTCCGGCATATGGGGCCAGCACCCCAATCCTTTCAGCCACAGGCACCGCCCAGGAATATATATGTTTTATAAGATGAAATTCTTTGGTGTAATATCATAAATGGTATCTTTTATAGATGACCATAAAAGAACTGCTAAAATCCTTAATTCATAATAGTATTTAATGCTTATTAAGCATTTACTGTGTACCACATGCTTTGTATGTATGTATTATCTTGTTTAATTCTTACAGTAACCTTGTGAGGTGTAGATATTATTTCTCACCATTTCACAAATGACAAAGCTGAGTGTCAGAAGTCTTAATTAACCTGCTTCTACCACCAGAGCTAGTGAGAGCAGAGCCCAGGCTGAGCAGAACCTTGCCTTTCTGCAGGGCCCACAGTGAGACACTGCACTGTAGATTATGTGTATACAGATAAATGTTCACATGCTTATTTAAGGCTGCTTAATTGGGAACATGCTCACTTATACAATTATCATTCATTAACTCATGGAAGTTTCTGACAGAATTAGCTCTTACAGTAGTGCAACGGTTTGTCCAGTTAACTGTGCAAAACATGTGGATTTTTTGGCATGCTACATGGCAAAGCTTAAGTCTTGTCACCATGTGATCCTTAGACCAAGTGAGCAAGATTTCCCGGAAGCTGAGGGAAAGTGCCCACAAGGACATATCTGTTGGCTGTGGTCAAGTGCTCCTCAGGGCTGATGTCCAGAGACAGACATGGGGAGGGGAGGGCATCTCCACTCACTTCCATGACAATACCTGGGAGCAGGAAGGGTGCCGCAGTTCCTTTGGTCAACTACACAGACACATTTAGGCATTCCCTAAGAAGACATGTATGTTTTTATGGGAACATATGTTTTTGAATTTTTCTAGCTAGTGCTAATGAATATAACTTGTTTTGCTTTGTTTTTTAGGGGTATTATTGAAGCTCGTTTTGTTTATGTCTTTGTCCTTGGCATTCTGTTCACGGGCACCAAAGACTTACTCAAATCTCAAGTAATTGCTACAGACTTCAAAATCAAGACTGTGGGTTTATGGGAGATACACAGTGGGTTGGTTCTGCTGGCAGCCTTGCTCTTTAGACCCCACAACCTCCCAGTCTTAGCGTTTAGTCTACTGATTCAGACTGTGCTGACTAAATTCATCTGGAAGCCCCTGAGACACGATGCAGCTGAGATTACTGTGATGCATTACTGGTTTGGTCAAGCATTCTTCTATTTCCAGGTAGGTTTTCCTTATTATCAGGAATAGAAAACTATTAACTTTTTTTTTTATTTTTTAGTCTGTCTTTGAGGAAATTTTACCATGACTTGGAAAGCTACGTTTGTTCAATGAAGGAAGTATGAGTATGACATAGTGAATTATGCTGAAATCTTGTGAATATCTTATAAGATAAAGTATAATTAGTAATTTAAGGCAGACATCATCCTGAGTAGCAGGTAGATTAGGACTCATTTATTACAAGTAGTTAAAGAAGCATGTCATGTGTGTCTCTTGCTTTCTTTGGTGAAGCTACACAGTAATACTTGTGCTTTCCTGCCCTTTGCCCCTGGTATCAGAACTGCCTGCACTGAGAACCAGTTGGTCTCCTCCCCACTTGGTTATTAGTCCCTGGGACCTGGTGGGTCATTAGTTCTTCTGTCCAGTGCTTGAAGACCCATCACAGATAAGTCCAAGCCCACCTCGGTTATGCACATGTGTAAATAAATGGCACCTGCACAGGATCTAGTCCTGTCCAGACTCCCAGCATCCTCGGGACAGTGGGCACAGCCATAGTTGCCCTCCCAGCTCCAACTCCTTGGCTGGCTAACTTGGCTCCAGCTGCCAAACATTTTGTCTTTACTGGGAAGATCTGTATTTTCTGTGTCCCCCTCCATCCAGTCCCCAGGAGCTTGTCTGCGTCTCGACAGGTTGGCCTCTTCCGCATCCTGACCTCCTCTCCTGATCTCTTTGTCTCCTGCTGTTCCCAGCCTTATCCACAGAGCAGCCCACAGCTTTAGGCTTTTCTCTGTTTGACCCTCTGACCTTGAAGCCCAAAGGTGGCAGGGGTGAAGTTACAGAACTTACAGAAATCTGTACATGTTCAAACACCATGAATAGACCATGACCAGTGCTCAGATCCTTGGTCTGGCCTTTTTGCTGCCCTGGCCCTTCTAATCTCCTCAACCCCCAGCTCCCTTAGAACTAGCTGCAGGTCTCCCAGCTGTCAGGTCCTATGCTTATTGGGGAGCATGGGTAGGAGTGTCCTCACCAGAGCTTCATGCTGCTTCCTAGCACTTTGAAACCAGGTGGGCTCTGACAGTCTCTGCTGTGCCTCAGTTTCCTTATCTATACATGGAATAATAGTTTCAAGCTATTGTGGGGGGTCAGGAGCATGGTTGGGCCTGGGCTGTGCCACACGGTGGTTATGACTCTAGGCTGGGGACAGCCTCTGGAGTGGGCGCTGCTCCTCTGCAGGGCATGGCTATGATGCAACAGTGGTTATGAGACAGCACAGCCATGACCTGTGGTGCCCTGGGTCACAGTCCTGCCTCAGGACGTTGGGCATGTCCAGAGGCCACTGGTATTCCTGCAGCAGCCACCTTCCCAATGGCAGGAATCACTGCAAGCAGAGTCAGCAAAGACTCAGGCCTGGCCAAAATAGCCATAGCCTGTCATGGCAGTGAGCAGCAGACCAGGCCTCAACGCCCCTCCCCTCCCACCTCCTCACCTCTCACCTCTTCCCCTTGCCAGGGTCTATTTTTTAGGTTGAATCTCTTTCCTTTCACTGTGGTCACTGCCTTATCCCTGCCCCTGCCCTCAGGTTCAACACGACCTTAGCATTGTAGCAGTCAGGATTATGATACCTGCAATGTCTTCTACCCTCACCTGTCCTTAGCCCCTGGGCCATCAGTTTCCTCTCTGACAAGTGTAATAATGCACTGCATCAGAACCGGTAATACTAGCAAAGCCTCAGCACACTCAGCACATGCCACGGGCTACTTACTGAAACAGCAATGTGGTCAGCACTTTGGTGCCTAGCTGAGCCTACAGGGGATCACCTGCAGCCTCCCAGGTGTCAGACATGCTTTCACTCTCCACCTTCCCCTCATATAGCCTGTCCTTCCCTCCTCACTTTCCTCTGTCTCCCCTCCCTCTCCCCCTCCCTCTCCCTCCCCCTCTTACCCTTCCCTCTAGCATCTCCAGCACCACCTGCTCCTGTGTCTTTGCCTCCTCAGGCCCCTTAGGGAAGGACTTCCAGACACAAGAATTTTGTGCTCACAGTTTGCCTTCTGGAAAAGCCCAGATGACCGTGAGTCATATGGATTTAAGAGGAGGTGGAGAATGGAATTAAACCAAAGGGATGGGGCCTAGGGTAAGAGTGAAACTAGGAGTGACTGCACATTGCGACTAGATTTGCCCGAGTTGTTTTGTGAGCCCTCAGGTAGATGGTTCCAAAGAGGGGACTTGGCTAGGCTTAATAGAGACATGTACTGTCAGATTGCAAATGTCTGTGGAAAACTTAGCATAATAGATACAGAATTGATACAAATTGAGGCAGAATCTTAG